TGGAACAGGGCCAGCTCCTCTCCTTGCATCCCAGAGCATTTCCATCCTTCCATGCACATATTCCCCCCCAAAGTTAGCAAAACGAAGGGGACACAGTTATTTGCTATACCTCAACAGAGAAAAAAAAAGAGTATCGAGACACACATGTCAGAGAGAAAAAAAGAATTATTTGAGCTAAAGACAATGCTGGCAAGAATAAATGTGTACAAAATCATGATGCTCTGGAATATCCTTCCAGTAGGAGCACTGGGCACAAGAAGACTAAATGAACCTTGAAACCTGGTCTAAAAGGACCCCAAAAGACTGTAATCTGCCTTTAAAAAAAAGTTTATAACCATGAGTCATTAGCATTCTGTACTCTGCAGTATTCATTTTCATTCAAATTTCACATACTCTTACATTTCTAAGGCAGAAACATGCACATGAGAACACTGCACGTTGAAACAGAGGTTTATAACCCCTTTCCACAAAATTCCACATCTACAAAGCACAAGTTCTTGCAGTTTCATTCTGTTCAAAGCTGAAGGAGACAAGAAACCAGATAGAGCTGGTGTGAGTCCCAGGGTCCAATAAGCACTTTGAAACATATTCAACTAAGACTTTTAAATGTCTCCAAAAAGTGCAGGTGTGCAAATTACTCCTGATACATACAGATTATGTTTCCAGTATCCCCTCAACCACTGTTAAACACCACCCCCACAAGCATTTTTCAGCTCATAAAAGCTTTATGAGCTGAAAAGTTCCTTCAGTCTTCTTTTTTCAGCTACAAATCCATTACCCTCCAGCAACAGCATCAGAGCTGCCACTACAATACACAGGAGCTATTTGAACATAAAAGGGCACAAAGTGGTAAGTTTTACCTCTCTGCGATGAAAGACAGAACTTGTGTCCCATTTGATGCAACGAAAAACTGCTATTATGGTAACAGATCACAGAGCAGGGCTATTGAGCTTTCTCATTTTGACAACCTTGCATGAAACTGCATGCTTTATATTCCTCTTAATTTGTGCACCTGCCTCACATTTGCTCATATGGCAGAATATGGGTTGTTTGTTCTGTGATAAAATGTATTGTACATTGTGAAGACAGCAAACAAAAAAAAAATCTTGTACAAATAAGCAGCACTGAAGTATATGTTCTTTCTTATGAGCATTTGAGTGTATTTACCAACATGTAGGATAATGAGTAGGATCTACAGCAAAGTCCCTAATTACTTCTGTTTCCATGAGTAAAATTTTATACCTAAAACTAAATGAAACTTCATTTATGAAAGTTTTAATTGATCACAAGCAAACCTATGAGAAGTTAGGAGTATAACAATTTAACTCTTGGATGGCAAAAGAGGTCCTTTAGGAGAAAGTCTTTCTGGATGGTTGGTCAAATAAATTTAAGGGAGTACTGCATTTTAAAAAGGACAAATATAAAAAGAACACATATATTTAGCATCAAATTGAGGGCATATATTGTACTATTTAGGACTAATCCGGGGGGGTCTAGGACAGCCTAAGATTCTTGGCAGTATATATAAATTGAATTTAACCCTTTCAACATTCAACATCTTTCAAGTGTGGCTTGCATCTAAAATAATAAAAAAAGAATAATATCCCCTGCATTCCGTACATCCATAACACATTCCATCTAAAGACTTCAAAGCACTTCAGCAAAGCCATTGCCAGTTCAGTGAGGGTTTGAGAGGGAAAAGAAAGGCGCAAGAAATGCTTCCCAATTTTACTTCTCTCAGATCCTGGCCACAGGTACAGTTACTACACTTGAAATAGCAAAGGGCTTCAGCAGGACTCAAGACAACCCACACATCACAGAGAGCGCCGCAGCTATGTGTGGCACACACTGCCCTGCTTGCTGAGTACTGCTAAAACAGCTTGCTTCTCTCCAAACTCCTCTAGTTTGACATGACCCCTGCTTTCCATATGGAGTATAAAATATTGTTTATAACTAAACAAACCTAACAGCACCTCTGTGGAGCACTTTATTATTATGCCTACTCTACAGATGGCAAATGGAGCTGCAGAGAGCAATATTCAGTGTGTTAGTATACTAGTAAGTTTTCACTGTAATTAAGTGATATGTCTGATATTAAACAAAATACGATACTGTAATTCCATCGAGCTCTGCTTTAATAACTTACTTCTAGCAAAAACTGAGCAACAAGGAGATAAAGATCTCTTAAAATGACCAACTTTACTGCATATGCAAGAAGGAAAATATTATATTCATTTATATACAACTTTTATACAGCAAAGCTCTCCTTAGATTCCTATTTACAACAGCTATTATTTGAAGGGCATGCTATGCAAGCTGTCTTTTTTTTGCGCATTTAGCAATTTAACATTTTTGGACTCTTAGCTTCACAATCATGAAGGTCTTTGCTTATATTGTTATTATCTTATATTTAAGAATGCCAAGCTATCTTGCATTGAAAATATGCCAAGGCATAAGAGAAAAAACTTGTTTTACCAGAACGCCATAATGATGAAAACTATTTATTGTTCCAATTAGCTGAGAACTAAAAGTCAAAGGTACCATTTATGTATTTCCTGGATGACTGTGAATCAATTTCTAAATCAATAATGATAAAGTTGAACTATATCCTAGTAAAGGGTATATGTTAGGAATATTTGCCAAATCCACTCCTCTCCACCACCACCTATATGCATTTCCTTCAGCACAAAGGAAACCTTATGTACTGAAGCACAATGCAGTGAAAATGTGTTTGACAGGATTTTCCAGACACAGCCTTTCATTTTTCCAGAAAGAACAGAAAACACTAACCCAAATCCTTAGACAGAATAAATCTTTGGCAGCTCTAAACTAGCCTGTAGGTATAGGGTGGCTTTTCTCTACAAGTAGCTAAAACTGTAGAGACTTGCAATGTCAGATTCCGAAAACAGAGTAATAAAGAAAATTCCTTTGTGACCTTGCACTAAATACATGATAAAATTCCTTGCATTTTGGGAGGAGAGCGCCACTGCCATTTAGGGAATACTCACTCCTAAAGGCAGAAATCGAAGGCTGTATACCTTTAACTCTGCATGTAAATATCCACAAACATACAAACACATTCACTTTTGCAAATATGCATGCACAGCTTTAGCAAGTTTGTGAAGACACAGAAAGTAAACCTTGAAAAAAAAGTCTATCCTCAGGGCTAGATCACCCAAATGAGAGCAAGCACAGCTGTGGATGTGACAATGCATTGATCCACTGTCCCCTACGTAGTCCAGTTTGGATTAACAATTCACAGAATCACAATATTCCTAACTGCTCTAAGCAAAACATAAGCCATGACTCTTCTTGATATATATGCTGAGAAATTTTGAAAAATAGACCTTGTACACCACTTGAAGAAAATATAAAGTTTCTGCATATTTCCAAGCCATACAACTTTCTCCCATGCAGTTGGAACATAGATGCCCATGTGCAATAAACTGTATTATAGCCCAACAATATAACAGAGGAAACTATATCACTACTGTACAGTCTCACTATTATTCTGCTCAGTTAACCAAATTTCCACAGCTACAAAAACATTCAGTATGTAACCTAACTCTAGTCTTCAAGAATCTTCTGTTCTTGACAGACTTACCAGACTGTCTCATATAACTTCCCATACACTAACAATATAGACAACATCAGCCAAAATAACCATAAAGTATCCTGAAAACAAAAGTATTTAAATGACAGAAAAGTGTTTAAATAACAGAACTATTATTTTCTGAAATAGAGGGTTAAAACTGCCACTGATAACTTGTATAACTATACATCTTCTAAATATAAAATAGCATAATAAACCTAAAGATACAAAATCCAGTGCACCAAAGATTCAATATGATACAGCAGATCTCAAGGGATCTACTGCTGTTTTTTCATTTCTGAAAATAACTCTGCTAAACAGAATCAACTGCTGACAAAAATCAAAAGGCTTGCATAAATTATGGTAGCTGTATAAGTCCTTCAGAGATATGGAAGTTAAAGTCAAGAATCAATGAGAAATCACCTTGTTCTATAATCATTCTAAATCAGCATGCACAGTTATGATATAAGGCACACAAAATGTATTTTTACTGTGTTCTTTCAAAAAAGAAAAATATATTTAAAAAATAGTGCAATATTAAAATAACTGTTTTGAGCCTTATTTTTTGTCAGTTTTCTTATCTAATTTAAAAAAATAAGGCTTTATCAAGAGATATACTAGTCAATTGACAGGCTTCTTTAAATTAAAAATGTATGGCCTTCAGCTATTATATTACAGCAACACATTGATCATAAAACTCAATAGTTCATTACTATTTCAGCAGTTTCTGTTCTGGATACCCATGGAATAGAAGCTGCGTACACATATACAGTGCCATCAGCTAAAAAAATATGATGAAACTGTACAAATTATGTCAATTTGCACCACAGATGCTACAAATCAGTCAGAAAAAATATTATGTGCTACAAAAACCTGCAAAAATCCTCCCCCTAAGCCACAGGAGATACTTCTGTAGACATAACAATACGTCTTTATCTTTTTTAGCTGACTACACCGTAAATGGCATTGTTAATAGCTACAGACTAATAGAATGTTAAAATAATATAGTGCTTCATTCGAGACCAGTAATGCATGGAATGAAAGCTGTGAAATTAAAATGCTTGCTTTGCAGGTAGCTGAAGTTAAATCAATGACTTGACAACATCATATAAAAAAACAGAAATATAACCACCAAGACTCTTAATAGGTAATACAACAATACTTTTCATGTAAGAATGAAGATAAAACAATCTGGCTCAAAACCATATATATTATACACTTCTTTTTTTTTTTAAATGTATAAATAATAGACCTACCAACATCTAGTAAGTTGCTGCCTAGATAAAACTTGGTACTTTGCATGCTTCAGTGATCCAAGAAACACCTCTGGTATATTCTAAAATACACCAGTTTATTATGATAAATTGTCCATTGTGCTGGACAGTAGGTCTAAAAGGCAAAATCTTACCTGTATCATTGCCTGTGATTTGAATAACATACAATCTTATGGCACTTCCACGATCAGGGGATGAAGTAGGAGGAGAGACCTCTTGAGGTTGTAATGCCTCTGTGGCCTCCTTCATTTTGGGTGGTGCAGTAGGTCGTGCAACTGCGGTAGCAGTTGATGATGTGAAATATTCATTATCAATTTCCAGTTCTGACATTCTTCCTGTCAGATCATCATCAGCAGTGACTTTACTGGGGGAAATAGACTCATCAATTATTATGATATCACTACTTGTTACTATTTCATCATCCTCAAGAATGATACGTGGTGACTTTGGGGTAGGTTTGGATGCTGCCGTAGGCTGAATTTTGTCTACAGCACTAATGGAAAATGTAGTTACATCACTGCGGATTGTTTTTTCTGTTGCATTTACTGAAATTATAACTGGTTTGATTTCTTCAGGTTCTTCTGATACTCCTGAACCTTCCAAAGTTTGGCTTGGAGAAGCTCCCAACGTCAGAAGAGTAATGCTTTCCGAAGTAGAATGGTCTGTCGGCACTGTATGAGGGGGCAACACGGATTCCCAACTCACTATGTTGCTGTCCTCTTCTTTGGCAGATGTTCCTCTGCTTTCATCTGTTTTTGTTTGGATGCTTGCTGTTGCAGACATTGCTTCAGTAATCTTTTCTTCTTGATCAGCAGCAGTTGCAGCTTTGAAAGTCACTGTGAGGTGCAAGGTGACAGTGTTTGTTTCAGCAGGTCCTAGGACTCTTCCATAATCTGTCAGCTTTACTGAAGGCACTGATACTTCTGTTGCTGGATATGTTTCATCGTAGGCTGAACCTGCCTCATCCTGCTTCTCTTGAACAGTTGATTGAGATGACTCAGATTCTGATATCATCTGTTGTTCCTGTATTTGAATAGTTGTCACAGGTAAGGTCGAATCTGTAGAAGTACCTGATTCCATATCTTGATCTTTTGTGAAGAGCTCATCTAGAAATACTTCACTATCTTTTGCAGTTGTTTCTGTTGGAACAAAACCACCAGAAGTAGTCTGATCAATTATTTGCATATCTCTAGTGAACCCATTTTCAACAGTAACCAAAACTATGGAAACATCATGTTCTTTCTGGGCAACTGTAGTACTTATCTTTCTTACATCTGTAAGTATTATAGATTCCTTTGCTCCTACAAAGCCAACTGATGATGTTCCTATGTCTTGAAGAGTTGTCAGTGATTCTTCCTCAGTTACCATTGCAATGCTTGTCTGATCTTCTGTCACTGTGTGTAATGAAGCCTCCATCTCAGTAGTGACATCTTCATCAGCAGGTGTTGCTATTGATTTCTCAGTAACCTCTTTTTGCTCAACTTCTGGGGTAGGCATGGACATTTTCAAAATATACCCTGATGTTTCATATCCTTCACGTTCAGTGACCTCCATAAACGTGGGCAAAGCAGTTAATTCCATATCACTTAAGGATCTAAAAGGCTTTATTGTTGTACTATCTTCATCCACTGATATTCTGGATACCATGATTAGTTTCAAAACTGAAGAGCTGCTTGGGGGGAAGACACTTCCAATATCTTTACTCTGATCAGAAACAGCAGATGAAGCTTCTTCAGCATCTTTTGTTTCCATTGGCTTAGTGCTTATCTTAATTTCATCTCTTATTTCTGAACTTGTTGCTCCTGAGTGTTTCATATGTTCCATAATTTTCCCTGGAGAGGATGTAGGCTCCATTCCCTTTTCTGTCAGTAGCCATATGCTGGAGACTGGAGGGGCAGGTGTGGACTTCTCACTTACAAAATATCCCTCAGATTCTGTTTTAACAGAAGCAGGAGTGACTGTTGTGCTATAAGGGGTTGTAACATCAATTGTCTGCTCTTCTGGCTCCTTTGCTTTTTCCTGTTCTTCTAAAATGGCCGATCTTACTGTTTGTGGAGATGAGTGGATGATGGATGTGACACTCTCTCCAAAGCTTTGAGGGGAAGTAACACTTCCTGAGAGTGTGATGGCCTCAGATCCTGTCTGACTAACAGCTGGTAGAATAATAGACACAGGTATTGCAGATGACATGGTAGGCTGCTCATCTTTCAAGTCCTCTCTGCTTCCTTCAGCTGATGCTTCATTATCCTCAAACAGAGTTGCAGAGGAACTAAATTTAAATGATGGAGTTGACTCTTTGGCCGTAGAAAATTGTTCAGTGGTTACCACATGCTCATCTGAGAATGTTTCTGATATAGCAGGAACATCTGATTCTGGGATGTTACTAGTAACCATGCCAGAAATCCTATCAGGCATAATAGTGAACATGCTTTCATTGCCCTCTCCCTCTGTAGTAAGATCATACTGATCAGTGAAAAAAGATTTGGGGATTACAACAGTTGTAAGGTTCTTGTCAGATTTTGCTTCCATTGATTTTTTGGGGGGTTCTTTTGTTGACTGGGTACCAAAATAGCTTTTCTCTTTTGTTAGTGAAACTGAAGTCCCTGTCCCGGGAAACCCCCTCTGTGAAGTTGATACCAAGCTGTCTGTAGGTGTCATCATAGGACCCACTTCTATTTGTTCAGTCTGGTCATCATCATGGTTTTCCGAATTACCTGTTTCAATATCTTCCCATGAAACAGAAGAACTCTTAACTACAGTTGTGCTATCCTGAAAAATAACAGGGGTCAAGAAAGCATCCTTCTTAATGCTTTCAGACCTACCTTGTTCCTTGGGCAATTCTGCTTCAGAATAAGTGTGTTCCTCCAAAGCTGCAGATGTGCTCTCTGTTAAGCTAGGTGAAACATCATATTGAGTCCTTCCCAGTGCATCATAAGTGCTTAATTCACCATCTGTGACAGTTTGAGGTAGAATGGTGGTTAACTTATTGTTCTTCATAAGCACCTCCATTTTCCTTTTTTCCTCAGCCAAAGCAGTAGTCATTTCTATATCTTCTTCACTCTCAAGGGTTGTTTCCTCTAAATAAGGGACCTTTGTTTTGGTGATAGCCATTTCAGTAACTGAAGCCTCAAAAATAGGAGGTTTAAGAGTAACTTTAGCAGATGATGGTTTCACACTGTCTGACATAGTGTTCAGAGATGTACCCAGTTTAAGAGTTGTAGACTCTGGTATGATTTTTTTACCTTAAAAAAAGGAGAAAAAAAGATGTTAAGGAATCATTTAGTAAAAGCACAAATTTTGTGCAATGACATTTAATGTTCAAGCATTCACAGCATGTATGCACAAATCGGTTATTTTCACACACTCATGTCTAATTGGGTGCCTATCTAATATCTATCTACTATTATATAGCAAACTTGGACAAAACGAGGGCATAATGGCAGATTTTAAAATCTGTGAAGGAGCCAATCTTCTTCCATCACTGCTGGGTATGTGTGTACATTTATTCACAATTGTTTAAGTAACTTTCCACTTTCCAAGAAAATGTTTGGAAGATCCAGATATTCAGAGATTTGCCTGAGATGCTGTTACTTATTATTCATTACTCATTATCTGATAATTCCTGAATAAAATAAGTATCTATTTAAAGAAAATCAGAGCAAATACCAAAGGTATTCTATTTGTCAAATAGTTCATTTGCACACTGCCATAAGTATTTACTTTTAAAGAGTTTATCAATAACCATTTTTTTTTATCATGTGCAAAGTGACATGAATCTAGCCCTATCCAAAGAGCTATTCCAGCTAGAATTAATTTTCAAGACAACTAGAACTGTGCTGGCATAAATAAGAGATATAGGATCTTTTACACACTTCAAGTTTGCAAACTTTGAGTGGATCAAAGAGGCTTATTCTTCATGGAGAAATCTTTTTTTTTTTTTTTTGCTGTGAGAAAACAAAAATCCTTAATACTTGTTTTAATAGGCTGAACAACAGTTTTAACTGTCATCTTCTCCACCCAGATGTTTTACATTACTGTAGTCCTTACAACATGCATGTAATATGCTATCTACTTTGTCCTCCTTCCGATGCAAGACATGAGGCAGATTTTCCTAATAAAATTAATCAACCTATTAGCAGCAAAAAAGCAAGTTCTCACCAGCAGTTGGTTATATCAAAGGCTATCTTTTTTTTTTTTTAATATTGATTCTTTTTATATTATGAACAACCTGAGTGAATTTGTTTTTGGATAGAGAATGTGGCTTTGTACAGATATGATATTGTTTCATTCTCTGTCTTATGCTTTCACTGTATAGCCTTTTTTCACCTTCTTTCCCACCATTGCTTAAACAGGGATTTAAAATAATGGAGCAATATTAAAACTTAGTATTTTTCCCCAAGGAAAGCACACTATACAACTTAAGGCGGCAGACTTTAAGGATACCAAATAAGGATTTTAATAAGAAACATGCTGAAAACTGTTATCATGTACTTCCTTTGTAATGTTTGCCTCTTGCTATGAAGCCAGTAGAGCACTCTAGGGATTTATTTGACCTGTACCTCATCCAAGATATTACTAGAGATATTTGCAGGTATGCATGTCTTGCTAAACCACATTTCTGGGAGAAGGACAAAGACTTATCTTCTTAACAGAGAATTGTTGAGTGAAGGTAGCTGCCTCAGTAAGGCAGTTTAAGCTTTCACCTTCACATAGGAGAAAGGAAGCATGAACAGAACTAACAGCCTGTGGTTAGCTGTATGACAGAGATGCTTCCCTACTCTTTTTTTGCCCATTCTGATACTGGGCTGAGCTGACAAAGGGGTGTAATACATTGGCTTTGCTATGTTCAGCTGTCTGTTGTGTTTCCACAGAAAGTCTTCCACAGAAAAACAGTGCTTGCAAGTTGCCTTGCACCACATGCACACGGATGTGCTGAAATACTCTTGCTTGAACTCTCAGTACTGTCAGAAACAGAGGTTTTGAGGGGGCAAGGAAGAGGTTTGCAGAGACAACTATTTTCCATTTCCATCACCTAACAAAGGTCTGTCCTGTTATATACTATGAAAGCTGTTGCTTCCTATATTTCTTCTTTCAAAACCAGTCTCTGATTCTGAGCTTTAGATGGACAAAGCATCAGGCAAACAGGCCCTTAGTCACAAGAGGATGACTTGAAGTCACCCTTGATGTGGGTCTGTTGAAACAATTAAAATAATGCGAACTTCATTCAGTGAATTAACACATAGGACAATGTGTCTCAAAACCTGAATATTTCCAATTTACAGCTAAAATGAAATCATAAATCCAATCTAAAAAGAAACAACAAAGCTGCACGAAACATAACCAAAACAAAAAGCAGATCTGAAAAAACACACACACAGAGCTAAAATTTGTTAAGTAAAGTTTCCTGAAAGAACAGTTGGAGCACTTTTCAAAAAAAAAAAAAAAAAAAAAAAAAAGTGACTTGGAAAGTTGAAACTTGTTCTATGGACTAGATTACAGGCAAATTGTAAAGTCCCTGCTCCAGGCTTTTGAAGGGACTGAGGAGCTTCATCCCCATTAGAATTAATTTTACCCATCACACTTAAAAGTGATGATAAACACTTGAGGAGAGGGACAGAAGGAGAAGCATGACAAGATACTATTATGCAGATAAAGCACACACTCCTGAGCTTAATTAGTCCTTCCTCTGGCATGCAGTTCCTTTGAAGTCCATTAGGACTGCTTCCACTGGCAGTTTTACAAGATCTTACCCACAAAAAAACAAAGAAAAAAATATATATATTAAAATGTTGCAGATAAGAGTATGAGAACATGGGGCACCTCCAGCTCCCACTGACACACTTTTGAAGTGAGAGCTGCCAGACTGCAATATTATACCAGGTGTCAGGATTTACTTTCAGCAGCAAAGACTGTCTGCAAAAGAGCATCCAGTGCCTGTGCTGGAAATATCTGTAGCTACGGCTGGCTCATCATTCACAGAAACAAGGACAGTAAGGTTGCACATTTCAAGCAGCCATGACAAAGTCACATGAGAAAGTCAAAAAAAGGGTTCTCACCCCAAGTAAACCTCCTCCACATTGGGGCCTAGCCACAGATGCAGGATAGCGAACACTTCCATCAGCCAGCCAGCCATAGTCACACTGGTCAAAACCGTTCCTCCAGGCAACATACAGGTTCCCAACAGATGCAAGAACGCCATCTCTTCTCCGACACAACTCCTTAGCTTCTTCGAAAGTTAGCTTCATAGGAACCGAAACATGAACGACTTGATCTAAGGGAAGAGAACACAGATAATGAAGACAGAGTATCACCTTCCATTATCAAGTCAGTCTAGATTCCCCTCTTTCTTTCAAAGTCCCCCAAATTTTTTCTTCCAATTTTGTTTAAATTTTTTTTTTCCCCTCTTAAAGTTTTACTTAAAATTAAGTAGATAGAAAACCTAATTGCTCATAATATAAGAACGTACCTACCTCAAAAGCAGAAACATTACATATTAATGTTCTCCACTGTGGTTGAAGATGGAATCTCTAAGCAGAGGTAATGGTGGGCCTTAGAGCTCCTTGGTGAGCTCTGTTAGAGTACACTGACTCAGCTGTACTAATTAAGTCTAATCTGAGCACATTTATTTTCTCAGTAAAACACATCTACATCTGCAGGTCCCTTACCTGACCTTTTAGTCATCACTAAAATCTCACTTGAAATCAAATGATCTTCACTAGCTGCTCCAAAGCAGCTTCTAATGTCATATCCTTGGTTTCCCTTTTGCCCCAAGGGGGGGAAAAAAAAAAAAAAAAAAAAAAAAAAAAAGCTAGACAACCCCTTATTTAGTTTAGCCTCCACAAAATTATAATTTGCAAATACCGCCTTTCTATCCAGATACTAAATCCAAATAAACAGCACATCAAATATTTTCCAGCAGAACATCCTCCAAGTTAAATCACTATTATACAGTTGGTGCATTCACTCACCAAAACATCAGAAACAAAAGTAGGAAACTGACTCTTCTAATTTTTGTTCAGACTTCACAAAACTGATGAAATCTAAAATCCAGATGTTTGAAGAAAACACCATAAATTCATCATATTCATTATAAGAGGTTCTCTTCCATCCAATGTACAATGGTGACTGCTGCTGCAGGGCTGCTAGTTCACATCAGGCAGGCAATCTGTCTCACCTCTGTACTTTTCTCAAGACAAACTAGCAAAAGACAGAGGGAGAGACTAGATCACCCCAAGTGGTTTCATTCACATTACACTTGTTTCAGGCTTGAAAGGAATGCAAGTGTGAAAGAAGGCAGTGTGCCAAATTGCTTTTTCCTCCTAGATAGAAATTATGATTTGTTATTATAGCTGTAATATCAATCCCATAGTGTAAGTTTCTTTATACATGTTGTAGGGTGTTTCTAACAGAAGTAAAGTATTGCAGCAGGTGAGGGACACGGTATGTCTGGTGAGCACACTTTAAGATAAGGGAAGTGAACAACCATTTGCCCTCAGAAGTGCTGAAATGATTTATTCAGCTCTACAAGGCATACAAACAATACACCTTTTATTACACATTTTTGTGGGGTGCAGCCTCTTCACCAGGGCAAATCAGTATTCAGGGCCAATACAAACCAATATAGTTACCCACAACGCTGTCCCAGTGACAGCGCTGTGAATCAATGAAGCAAGGACAGACCTCCGCACAGCAACCCACCCTGCTAACCCATCCAAGACTATTCAATTATCCCCTCACGTTGCAGCTCTGAAATGTATGAAAATTAGTAGTTAAAATAATTGTGATTAGAAGGGAGGCTTTAAGTTTAGTTCGACAAGAAAGTAAAAAAGAAAACCAATGTATTTTAATGCTTTGCTAATAACAAATATGATATATTAAAAAGGTAAATAATGTCAAAAGAACCCACAACATCCCTTCTGGGAAAAGCTTCCTGAAAAGACAGGAAAATGGGTAAACAGAGTAAGATTAATAGCAATGCAAAGTTTCCATCAACTAATCTGGATCACCGTGCATAGGAAGCCAACTGCCTCCAAATGAAGCCTTTGTGTAGCATCATTAGAGGTATTTATTCCTCCAAGTTGATATCTGCACCACTAAAGCAAGAAAACTTAGTGAAATTCATGCCTGACTACAAAACTTCAAAACACAACGTTCAAATTACTTATATAAGGGAGGCCACTTAACTAAAAATTTACCCATTCAAGTCTCACAAGTTGCATTTTTATATGGAAATTTGCTTTCAATTAGGCAAATGCAGAGCATTGAGGACCCAGAGCTTCTCTGCACAGCTCGTCAATCTTACCCCCCAATACAGCCTCTCCCCATCCAGCTGTCTCTTCAGGCCCCACATTGGACACCATTTGTGGGGTATTGAAGAGCAGGGGTCTCTGGAGATGGAGAATCAAAGACATCTGCTGCAACAATACAGCTCCTTATAAAATAAGGCTGGAGCAAGCCAGCCCCATGCCCAATCCTTGTAAAGGGCACCCAGCTGGCAATCAGAGCAGTCTCTGTATGCACCTCAGCTGCTGGGGAGGTGGGAACCACCCCATCACCTCCAAGTGCCCTGGGTTCTGCAATCTCTTCACTGACCCCAGGATGACCTAGACCTCACAGATTGCCTCAGGCAAGTTTCCATATAAAAATGCAACTTAGCCTTAGAATATGCTTGCATATGCAGAGCTGATAATGCACATTTAAAAGGTGGGTGGCATATCCTGCTCTGTGCTAAGTCTATCCTGCAGACCCAAGACTTACTTATATGGTTTACCTTTAAAGTCAGCTGATGTCATGTAGATACCATCTTTGTCTAAACTGTGTTTTACCAGAAGGAAATAAAATAAAACAACAAAATCCTAAAAAGAAAAAGCGTGTATTTAAAAAAAATACAGGCTAACCAGAACACTCCAGCAAGTGAAGTCTGAAGTTGCATTCTTTGTCACCTATTTCACATTTTTTAATATAATAAATGTAAAAAGAATGTGAAAAGGTACCAGAGGACCAGCAAAATGCTTTTATTGTCATTCCATGGTACACTGAGTATAGAATCATGTATTTTGGGAATGATAACAGCAAAATAAAAAGTATAACTATGCTAAAACATGTCAGTTCACAATGGCTCCAGTCAAGGAATGTTTTGCTATGACTCTAGAACTCCTATTTAAAAACAACCCAGCAGAGTGTAAAAGTCAATTTCCAAAGAGTGGTCATTTTCTCAAGACATGATTTCACAATTGGCCTGTCCAGTTCAAGAAAAAAAAATGTGTGTTTCAATGTATATTTGATATGCATAGTAATTGTTGGGATAATATGCAAAAAACAGGGCAAATTAACAAACATTCTGCTATATATAAACCTCAAAACATTTGAAAGTTGTCCTACAATTTTCCAAAACCATAGTTAAAAAAAAAAGGGGGGGGAGGGGGTGAAGAAAAATGACTTCTGTTGAGCACATGGGAAGAAAACAGCACTCAAAACTCAAGGACAGGAAGCATCAATCAGATTACAGCAGCCCCAAGATATGTGATAAGAGTTCGTACAATCTTTCCTGCATTTCTCACCTGGAGCAAACTGTGAGATCACGCAATGGACTTAACACTTCAGGGAACTGCACACTGACAATGAATCAGGACCTACTACTCATGTACAGGAAGCACTCGTGTATATTTTTTTGGGAAAGCAGCAATGCAGATGGCCCCATATTTCCTAAAGGCAGACCTATAATAATGCACCCTTGCAGGTATCATCTATGAATATGGACAGAGAACATTCTGCAATCCATGTCACCTCTCTGATGTGATCAGTGCTAAAGCACTTGCTAGACACAAGTCTCCGGTCAGAAAGAGATGGCTACCAAATTATTGATGTTTACATATTTTGTGTACATGCTCTGGAAGGGCTACTTATATAATCCCTGAAGCTTTTCCCTGCAGTTTCGTCCTCAGAGCCATAAGATAATTCTGTTTATACCATGTGAAAAGAGGGATGGTCCTACTTCACTGTAAACCTAGCTGCTTATCTCGGAGAGAAAAAACGACTTAGTCTGGAAAATACACCATTTCCCCTTTAGTCTATGTACAAGTGGGGTAACAGAACAAGAGGGAAATAACAGAAGTATGAATGTGAAGAAAGATGCTGGTACTTAAAGGAAGAACATTGGAAATTTCTTCAGAAACAGCCAAATTTTG